CGTAATCTGAAGCTGGGTTTATCTGACTGGTTTTACTATTGCACTTCTTGAATGATGTGTTCCACACCCCTCCCACCTCAACTGATTTTCCTGAGGTAGTTGTGCCCCATGGACCACAAGTGCTTAGTGAGCTCTCAGCTCCCAGGAGCACAGTCCTTGCTCAGGAGGAGCGGCTGGACATGCTCCAGAGCTGTGTGTGAGTTGTGTGTTGGGTATGTGCTGACAGCTGCAGTGTCAGAGCAGGTGGGTGAGCTGAGCATGCTGTGAGTGCTGCTCTGGAGCTGTCTGTCCCAGGATGGCTCTGTACAGCACTGACAAGGATTTATTATGTGCCTTTTGCCTTCAGACAGCAATAGAACAGCTGCAGTCACATCTGGACTGCTGCCAGGGGCCTTTCCAAGGAGTCTTTAATATTTTGTGTTGTAAAGCTGTTGCTTTCTCTTCTTCCTCACCAATATTCCCCTGTCCCCTTTGGCTGTGCCCAACTAGAGCAGCATCCAGAATTGTAGAATAAGAATTATTTGGCAAGACTGTTTCTGTTCCATTTCCTCTTACTCTGTAAGATGTTTTCTATTATAGGTACTGTAAGAGATTTTAAATATGCAAAACCAATTGCTGTAGTAATTGGTTCTGGTCCTGGAATTTTGCTGTGCAAGGGATGCAGAAATGTTCCTGGCACTTGCAGGCCAGAAGCAGTTGATTTGTTGATACACATTGTATCTGTGCGTGGTGTTGTTTTCTAAATACAATACACCCTTCTGTGGTTAAACCAAGGTTATTGAGTGGCAAGTTAGGAAGGGGAGAGTGGAAGGCAGCTGGTCCTGAAACCCTCCTGGGAGCAGTGTTGTCTGTTCCTGCTCTTCCCTCTGCTGTCCAAGGAATGACCTGCCCAGACTGGCACCATGTGCCATGAGACCACAGGGACACAGGAACCTGTATACCTGGTTAATAATGATACATTACAAATTAGTAATGTTTCATGTTAGTAAGCAAAATGCTTCTTAATTTTAAATAACCTGATACTTTGCATATATGTAAATTACAGATAAAATGGTTTTTAATGTTACTGTTCAGCACCTTGCTGCTTGCAGTTTTAATCAATGCTGTTCTCACCTCAGCCACATGTTACTTGGCAAGGTGGGTTTGGGTTTCTGGTGGAATGCTGGTATCTGCTGCCTCTCTTGCAATGAGAAGATTAACATTTTGTACTCCCCAGCTGACACTTGCTGAACTTTCTGTATCACTATGCAATATAGTCATGTACTGAATAGCCATGTGACAGCCCTGGCAAAGAAAAACTGTGTTATATAAATAAAAACTGCTGAGTTCACATATTTGACCTCTGGTGGCTTTGTGGAGGAACATTCAACATTTTGGTTGGCTTTCTGGGGAAGCCAGAGAAATTATCCTTCCTCCCTGAGTTCCTCTGACAGGCTTTGATCTCTGTGTGCTGTGTGAGGCTGGTTATTGACAGGCTGTTAATCGATGCAGTGAGACCAAAACATCCATGTGCTGTGGCAGATAAGGGCATGTGCAGTGTCTGCTGCTGATTTGGCTTCCCTGGGGTTGCTCAGTGCCCAGGGCAGGTGGGACAGGCAGCAGCACTGGCTCTCACTCACCACCACAGTGTGGGTGTCTCTGGTGCTAAAGCAGCATTTATTGCCATTGAAAGCAGCAGAATTGCCACACTCCTGGCAATTTTGGAATCAGCATGGACTGTGATTGGCTTTAAGGGGCAATTCCACAGTGCAGTCTGGAAATAAACACATATTTTATCCAGTTACAGTACATCTGTGTTGGATGTTGAGTGTGGAATATGTGAATGGTAACGTGTCCAGGTTTTGCTCTGAAGATTTGTTATGGACTGGAAGTGCAGCAGGAATATCAGTGCTCACCTTGTGGTGTAAGGATCTTCCCCTCCCACCTGCTCCCCTGCAGCACAGCATGTTCTTATCTCACTGGTTAAATAACTTTATGGTCTGTATTGAAACTTGTGCTCTTCATTTACCACAGGGCAGTGACTCTGTAGTTAATCAGAAACCAGGGAGGCAGGTGCTCCCAGAGACCAGCTGCATTTCAAAACAAACCTGCAGCTCTCAGTCTGAAATCTTTATTGACTGTGTGAGAGGAAGCCTGTGAGGCTGTCACTGCAGTGACCGAGCTCGTGTGGCTCTGTGTGTGTGTGGTGGGGGGATGGAGTGGTGCGTCAGGGATTTGAGTACACCTTTAACCAGGTGAGGAGTTTGCTGCTGTCTGTAATGGCATCTGTTGATGAAAAATGCTGCAGGATTTCAAGGCTGATGTTCCTGTAAAAGACAATAGGTAATTCTAGTTTTACATGATGTGTAAAGGGGTAAATATTCGTTTTTGTGTCTCAAAGCTGCACTGAGAGACAATTAAAGGAATCAGTGCAGAGGTTCATTATCACAACCAGGAGAGGAAGAGCTGGAGCTGGCTGACTCTGGTTGTGATGTTTCTACTGCAGGGACAGTCCTGGGGGCACATGGGGTGGTTTGGGAGGGTCAGGCCCCAGCACAGATGTGGTTGAAGTTTCTCCCCCAGACTGCTGTGTGTGCTGCTGGGGCAGCCAGCAAGCCCAGCTCAATCCCACTGCTGTGCTCTGAGTGTTCTCCTTCATTCACACAAAGTTCTGTGTCCCCATTCCCCAAGCTCACTGTGGTGCCAGAGATCTGGGAAATGGGAATGCTGATTGGAACTGTTGCTGCTGCACATTTTTTCCCCTAGACGTTCCTCAGTGCCTGGAGTGGTGGGGCTGCCTGCCTGCACTTTGGCAACCCTACTGGGGCTGTTAAATTGGAGTTTTTGGGGTGCATCCTCTGGTTTAGCACTTCCTGGGGCTTGGGGGTAGAGCCTGCTGTGACTGCTGTGTGTTTGCTTTTGGGTGTTTTGCCAAACTGGGTCAGATCTGTGTGTCAGCTCTCTGGGCTGCTGGAGAGAGAAGGAGGTCACACTTGGGCCTGTTGAAGGTTTCCTGTGCTCAGGGGCTTCCCAGCCCTCATCCTGTCAGCTGTGTGCCACTGAAGCCTCGTGCTGAGCTTCAGGAGAGGCTGGTTCCTCCAAGCAGGCCAGTCTGCTCTCCAGGGCTTGCTCATCTCTCCACTGCCCTGTGCTGCCCTTGCTCCCTGAACTTCCATTTGAACTCAGCTGGTTCCTCCCCTTGGGGCTTTCCAGGATGTGGCTAGCTCAGTTCCAACATCTTAAAGCATTTCCAGAGGCAGGAATGGGGAAGGCTCCTGTGCAGGCTGTGGGGAAGGGGATGGGGTGTGTGCACCATCATTGGGGTGCGGTGATGGGAGCAGATTCAGCATGCACCCCCTGCTCCCCAGTGCTGAGGCTGCTGAGCTGCTGCTCTCCCTGCAGAGAGGAATGGATGTACCAAGCATGGCAGCAGCTCTGCACCCTGTGCCCCAAACTGCTGCTGCAGCACAGCCTCCCTGTGAGACAGGAATGCAGGAAGAGAAGGGAAAGGGCTGGGGAGGAGCTGGGTGCTGCCCCAGGGCAATGGGGGGACGCTGGGGTGGTGATGGTGGTGCTACCCATTTAATTTCCTCTTACTCTCTATGTTTTCTATTGTAGGTACTGTAAGAAATTTTAAATACCTAAATTAAATTACTATAGCAAAACCAATTGCTGTAGCAGTTGGTTCTGGTCCTGGAATTTTGCTGTGCAAGGGATGCAGAAATGTTCCTGGCACTTGCAGGCCAGAAGCAGTTGATTTGTTGATACACACTGTATCTGTGTGTGTTGTCAAGATGCTGTCAGCACTTGCCCTCCAGCCACATGCTTTTCAGCTCTTGCAAGCTTTCCTGAGTACCTGAATACCCCGGTGTTCCCCAAGGCCAGGGGCTGCCCCTGGAAGCCAAAGCCATGTCTGGGGCAGCAGCAGCGTGACAAACGCACCGAGGGCCCTGGCCAGGGCTGGGGAGCAGTGTTGCACAAGTGTGCTGGAGTAAATGCAGCCTCAGGTTAGGCAATAGGTCAGGAGGCTTTGGCTGGGGAAAGGTTTCTGTGCCCTGCGTGGTGGCTCTTGCCTTGCTGCAGGGGCTGTGGGGAGGGGCTGCTCCCTGGGGGCTGCAGAGCTGGTGGCTGTAGCTGATGCTGCTTGATGTCACCCTCCTCCTCCTGCACCCTGGTCCCTGCGGGCTGGCTGGGGATTTCCAGCCCAAGGATTGCCACGGAGGGATGAGTGGAGGCTGGAGCAGGAGCAGGACCTTGTCACATGTCTGGTGTCCCCGTGGTCCCAGCATGGAGGGTGCTGTGATTCCTGCAGGAGTGCCAGCTTGGGGCCCCCATGGCACCTGCCAGCTCAGTGGCAGGACCTGGTTTTCTGTGGCATTTCTGAGCAGCACGGGGCTGTCCCTGGCTGCGGGGTGAGTCAGGCGGCTGCTATTGGCGTTGCATCAGTTCCCTGCAAGTGGGAGCTGCACGGGCACGTTGGGAGGACAGATCCCTGCCAGCCCTGCTGCTGCTGGAGCCCAGCCCTTGCTGTGGGTGGGTGCTGCCCCTGCTCTGCTTCAGTGAAAACTCATCCTGTCCCCCTCCCCAAAGAGCTGGGGGCCTGCAGGGCACTGGTGCAGCTGTCCCAGCTCTGCTGGGGAAAGACCAGGCAGACACAAGCGATGGAGAGCACTGTCTGTATTGAGCAGTGGCAGCCTGGGGCAGGGTGCAGCCCCCAGGCCCGGGCACTGGGCAGCCCCTCAGCCCTGCAGGCTCCTGGGCCAGTTGTTCTGGCCAGCCCAGGGCCCTCAGCCGTGCCTGGGAGCCGGCTGCCCTTGACCGCTGTCCCAAGGAGCCGGCCCAGGGTTGCGACATGTGCAGGAGCAGCTGGAGAGGATGGATCTGGCCCATCAGGAAGTCAGTGGGTGAGTTTTGCAATTCCTCACCCCAGTGCAAGGTGACTGAAGCTGGTGCTGATCAGACCCTTGTTCCTGGAACTCCCAGCAAGCAGCAGAGCAGGAGGATGCTCCTCGGTGGGCTTCACCAGGCACAGTCAGCCCACGGCAGCCCTGGGCAGGGAGGGCTGTGACGTGTCCTGGGGCAGACCCAGGGCCAGTGGCTTGTCCTGACCTGCCTCCAGCTGGCTCCTGCTCCTCGGGAATGGCTGCAGCTCTGCTGGTTTGGGCTGGGCCCAGCCAGCACCAAGGGACGGATGGAGGCACATACAGGGATAGAGCTGGGGCTGCAGCAGCCTGGCCCGTGTCCTGCAGTGCCTGGGCAGGGAGGAATGTGTGCATCCTGCCTGGTTTGCCGAGGCCCTGCTCACAGCTTCACTTACATTTTCTGCCTGTCACGCTGGATGGAGCCACGTGGTTGCTGAGGTGCCTCCATCCACTGGCGTCCTGGAAAAGAGCAAAGGAGAGAGGGGACAGCAGTGGGAGCACCCAGCCAGGCTCCTGATGGGAACAGAACTGGCAGCCTTTCCCAGCACCTACCTCCCCAGGCTGCCAGTGCCACCCAGTGCCCAGATGGGAGCTGGTGGATTACCCACACTGCCCATTAACAGAACATTGCCCCCTCCTCAGCCACTGGCTCCCTGTGCCCCTCCACAGTTCCCAGCCCCTACCTTCTGGGCTCTCTCCCTCACTCCCACTGGCACTTTGGTCCTCTGCTTCCCCCAGCAGCTCGGGGCTGTCCCCACTGTTCCACCGCCACGGCAGCTCCTGCAGCTGGAGCAGGGTGTGAGGGGCTGGGGTGGCACCCCCAGGCTGGCACCCCCGGGCGATCCCAGGGCACTCACCCGTTGGCGCAGGCTCTGCTGTTCCCGCAGCAGCTCCAGGAACCGGCTGCTCCACAGAAGCTTCTCAGCCCCCAGCTCGGTGCAGAGGAATCGGACATCGGCCTCCAGAGCCTCCAGCCTCCCCAGCATGGCCTCGCTGGCCCCGCCGTGCCACTGCCCTGGCACCACAGCTCAGCTCCTGCCACCCCCCACGGCACCGGCCAGCCCCAGGGACACCCCTGGGCCGGGACCCACCTGTCCGTCCAGGCTCCCAGGCAGAATCAGAGTCCACATCCTTCTCCTCCTCCTCCTCACTCCCCTCCAGTCTAAGCTGCAGAGCTGTGCCGAGCTGGAAGCCAACACGGACAGTGGGTGCTCGCAGGTCCAAGGGCAGCTGAGCCCAATGACCCCTGGCACCAGCCCTGCCTGGGGAGCCCCCCTGGTGCCACCCAGCAGGCGCTGTCACTGGGCTCAGCTGTCCCGGGGGTGGAGAGCAGCCCGGTCTCTCCCACCGGGGAGTTACCTCCTCGGTGACCTGGAAGGCGCCATCCCAGCAGCTCTTGTAGCACATCAGCAGCACCTGCGGGAGAGGAGGGCTCACACCCACCCTGCGCAGGTGTCCCCGCGTCCCCAGGGCTCTCGGTGGGCACAACCACACCCACCCGGCGCCTTGAGCCAAGCAGCAGCCCGGGGACGAGGGTCCCGCTCCCGCACCGGGTGTTGCGGTGAGGCGCTCCCCGGCTCCAGCTGCAACACCCGCCAGCCCCCCGCAGCAGCAGCGGTGCAGCCATTGCACCCCACTTCCAGCCCCCAGCTGCATCAGCCCTCGCAGCAGCAGCAGTGCAGCGCTTGCACCCCAGCAGCAGCAGCAGTGCAGCGATTGCACCCCGCCTCCAGCCCCCAGCTGCATCAGCCCCCGCAGCAGCAGCAGTGCAGCGCTTGCACCCCAGCAGCAGCAGCAGTGCAGCGATTGCACCCCTCCTCCAGCCCCCCACAGCAGCGGTGCAGCGATCGCACCCCAGCAGCGCCCCGGCCCCGCGCCCCGCGTGGAGCCGGCAGAGGTTTGGGCAGCTCCCCGGGGCAGGGCTGTGCGGTACCGACCCAGGCCAGGCTCCAGAGCCGCCGCAGCCCCCGCAGCGCCGTCCCGCAGAGCCGCAGGAAGCGGCGGCCCCCGGCGCGCAGCAGCCGCAGCCAGCGGGGCCCGGCCGGGCCGCGCTGCCGGCCCATGGCTCCCGCGGGCCCGCACTCGCGCTCGGGCTGCCCTCGCCCCGCAGCAGCGATCCCGAGCGCCAAGGGCTGTCCCGGCTCGCCGTGAGCACGGCGAGAGGGGAGCGGACAGGCGGGAGCCCCGCTGCCCTGCCCGCTGCCCCTTTCCCAGCCGTGCCCCTCGGCGGCCAGATGAACGCTGCCTAATCCTCTTGGTGACGAGGCTGTGCAGGGATTAGCGCTTCCCTAACGCTCCACCTTTGGGGTCCGTAAGGGCAGTGGCTGCTCTTCTGTGCTTTCCTTTGCTCAGGATTCATCTATCACAAGCAAAGGACTCAGGATGTATTTCTAACCGCTATTTTTAGCTTTAACTAGCATTCAGGTAAAGCGTGTGAAGGTCCCTCTGACTCCTGTGCCCAGGCATTGGCCGTCCTGGAGGTCTTTAGTCACTCAGGCTCTTTAGGAAGTAAAACAGAAGTGTCCAGAAGTCAAATGGAAGTTTTAGGCACAACTGCTGGAGTCAGGACCCAGCAGGGAAGAGCTGATCCTTTGACTGAATCGGGTGTGTGCCATTTCTCTTTCTGCCCCATCAATGTGCCCCCCTCAGGCTGCAGAACAGGCTGTCCCCTCCTTGGTGACAAACACAGCCAGAGGCAGGAACGGCTGCACTTTGTCCCTGCAGCGCCCCAGTGTGTCACAGGGAATGCAGAGCTGGCCCTGCCACACGACCTGCCTGCACACAGGCTCCGAGCTACGCCAGCCCTTTGCTGCCTCTCCAAAATGTTCCACCCAAAAAAGTCTGGCGGCTTTCCTCGAGGACAGAGGTGCAGCAGAGACTTCAGCCTCTGAAACCCAGGTGCTCCAGCCATCCCTGCTTGGAGCAGCAGCTGCAGAACTGGCTTCATACCAAGGCCAGAGAACCAAAACCATCAGCTGAGAATTCTTTTTTCCAGCTATGGAGGAGCAAGGCTTTGTAGTTCATGCTGTTTCCTAGATCTCCCACCCCCCTGCACTTAAACTGTAGCTTAAACCACAGAAGTAGGCCGGCTTTGCAGCTTGGCCTTTAAGCTGCTCTATCCCGACCCCCCCGTGGAGAAGCAGCCGCCAGACCCTGAGCACACCCAGCTCCCTGCAGGATAAGCCAGCTCCCTCCAGGAACAAACACAGAGCTGCCTTGATCCCCAGATCAGACACAGCCCAAAGCAGAACTCTGCTCCCCCACAGTCCCAGACCCCCAACCCCGGGGAGCAGAGGTGCAGCAGAACACACAAACCCTCGGCTGTTCCATGGGCCGTGCACACTCCAGAGACCCAGTGACTCTCCCATGGCCCCTGTCCCAGGGCCCCTTTCCCACGTCTCCCTCCAGCAGCAGGGGTTACACAAACACATCCCAGCACGGATAAAGCAATTCCACAGCTCAGTTCAACAGCAGCAGCAAGATCCTGACGTGGCTGCTGTGAGAAGCACCCAGCCGTGATTCCTGTCCCTCTGCAGGACAACCCAGCTGGCTCATCCCTGATCTGCAAGCAATGCCAGCAGAACCATGGACATTCCAGTCATGCCTTGCAGCAGGATCAGCCAAACTCAGCTAGAGAACAGAGCCTGGCACTCCCTGCAGAGCTTAGAACAGCTACCCCAGGAGAGAAAGCACCAAGTGAACGTCCCATGGGCCACGGGACAAGGAACAGCTCCAGTGCCAAAGGGGAAGGAAGAATCCCAGCAAGTCCCCATAAAGCAGGTGGACACTAAAAAGCACCAGGAGTCAAAGTTTGGACTGAATAAACCATGAGAAGAGACAAACATGGAACTTTTATTGTTTATGTACAAATGACAGAGGTTTGTATTAAAAAGAGAACCCACCCAAAGTCAGCGACAGTGAAGAGTTGGCTCTGAGTTCTGGCCCTTCCTGCATCTAATGCACTGAGCAATATTGAGAGATGGTGTTTAAAATGGAAGAGAAAAGGGTTAAAATGCCTCCTTCTCTGCTTGAGTAAGAATCAAGAGCTGTTCCACAAAATGAAGAACCTTCCACTGCACGGACTAAACAAAGAAACCCGAAGTCAACTTGTAACTATACACTTCAAAAAAGGCACAACAAAACCAACAAAATAAAACAAAACCAAAAGAAACCAAACCTGCAAAGCTAAATATCAGCAACAAAAGTAATTTAAGTCTCACAAGATGGATGGGACACACTGAATCCTACCCAGTTCCAGTGGAAAGGGAAATGCCTCTCTGTGGGTCTGCAGGTGACAGGGGGCAGCAGTATCAGCCTTTTCAGCAAGTTCCCGACCAAGGTGGAAGCACAGAACAGTCAGGAATTCAGAACTACTACAGCTACTATACCACCTTTGTCTCCCTGCAACTCAGGTGATTTAAAAATGATGCAAAGTACATGGTCCAGGATTTCCTCCCCCCATCCAAGTCCCTTAGAATGAGTCACTCCTGCTGCAGCTGCCATCCTGCTTCAGGGCTTCTCAGTGGGGAGTCACAGACCTAAATCCCAGGAGCATCAGCACTGATGGCTCTAGTAGTCCTGCAGAGAAAGGACAGCACATGCACGTTAACACCTTCCCACCTCCGATTCTGCTCTTGGAGCTGGGGGTCTCAGTCCTCTCTCATCTCACACACCACTAGCTGCAGGCAAAACGGATCTTTTCCTTGTAACTAAACATTGAAAAGCAGGACCCTTCCAACCTTGAGTATCAACTCAAACCAGATGCTTTTGATGCTCCAGATCATGACAAGATAACAGGATGCAAAGCAGCTTTTTCCAAGAGAAGCACATGGGAGTTATCTGTGACCTGGGCTCAGAACAGCCCACCTGGGCTCAGCTGCTGTCACAGCCAGGGGACAATGCTGATGTCACACTGTGACTCCTCAACCATGACAATAAGAACTCAAATGACAGCAGCAGCAGCAGGAGGGTTTTTAAAGCTTGTGAGTCAGCCAGCCCTTCCAGTGAGCAATGAAAACACAGACAGAGCACGGATACTTACGGCTCTTGGCTTTTTGTTTAACTTGAGATCAATCCTGTGGTTGGAAAGACAAGAGAAACGTCCATGTCAATACCTGACCCAACACCAGAGTTACTGCACAGGGCACAGCTAGACAGAGACTACGGTTAATCCATCCATTCCCAGCTGGCTGAGCCAGGGGCTGTTCCCAGGGTTACTGGGCACGAGAGCAGCAGAGGAGAGCCGGGTTATTATTTGCCAAAAAGCAGATTCCATCCACTCCCAGACAGTTAATCAAGGGGCACAATCAATCACAGGGCATTTAGGCAGGTGAACAAGGGGAACTAGGCATGCTTTATGTTAATTTAATCTGCCAGAGGTGTAACTATGCCACAGGTAATTAGCCAGACATAGCGTGAGAGTTATTTACTTGGATAGAGGAGTTAGGATGACAGGGATTATATGAGCCAAAATTACTGAGTTTAGTAAATTTTTCCAAAAGGAAATATCCAAGTCTATACTTATCTCCTTAAGCAGCAAAGCCAAAAGAATCAGTTTTTAAACTAAGTTTTAAAGTTAAAAAGTTTTATCTATTCAAATATGAAACAGAAAGGTAAAGAAGAGTGAAGTTAATTTACAATTTGCTGAAGTTATTAAATAAAATGTTACCTCCATCACGCTTTTCTGTTTTTAAAAAAAACTTCCCAGCCTAACCTAATATACATACCTACAATTAAACAGATAAACTAGGGGTTAGCGAGGTCTCAAAAGGCACATCGGTGTCTACACACTAACAACACAGCACAAGTACTAATTCAAGTCAAACTTACTCAAAGTCATAATCAAACATGCCAGACGGGCTGAGGGGCAGCATTTGAAAGGAAGAAAGCAATAGAAATTAATATACTAATGAATTAAATCAATTAATTGATTAGCCACCCTAGCGAGATTGCTAAAAAATAAAATGAAATAAATAACAAAGCCAGTGTTCAAACACCATCAAGTTCTTCAGATATCTTAACCAGGACTGGACACAAAAAGCACTCTGGCTTGGCACTCCAGTCCCCCTCCCCACTGGATTTCTGGGAACAAGAGGTGTTAGCAGAGGTGGGTTTGGCTCACACAGGGGATTTTGGGAGCTGAAGGAGGGGCAGCTGCCAGACTCAGGGGCAGGACAGGAACCCAAGGGCTTGGAAAACCAAAGTGAGGGGTCAGGAAGCTGGGGAGGGGGCTGGGCTGCCAGGGCGAGGCAGAGGTGACACAGAACTCGGTGCTCAACCCTGCACTGGGCTGCTCCCCGCACACCCCAGCGCTGCTGTCCCCTGGTGGCCCAGGGACGTTTGGGCAGAGCTGAGCACTTTGGTGACTGTCCCACCCCCCATACAGGTGACCTCCAGACACAGCTGTGCCCACAGCTGGCAGGATTGATCATGGAATCCCATTCCAGCACCGCTAAGAGCAAACAGCACTGGGCTCCCTCAAACCCTTGTTAGCCGTGACAAGAGCCGAGCACACAGAAATCTCCAGCCTGGCCTTGCTGAGGTGTGGCAGGGAGCAGAGGGACAGCACAGCCTCTGCAGCCACACCTGAGGCCCTGTGTGCACCTGAAGGCAGAGGTCCCCAGAGGGGAAGCCAGCGAGGCCGTGCTCCTGCAGGGCCCTCTCCAGCACCTCCTGCTTCTCCAGAGCGGGGCAGCCAAACCCAGAGTCGTGCTGGCAAGAGGAAGAGCTTCTGAATAAAGAGAAAAGCCAACATTTCTTTTTATTTTTCTCTTTGTCATGCCAGACCCCTCAAGGGACAGACCCACAGGTCTGGCTGGAGCACCTGTGGGGTTGTGGGGCTTGGAATGCCCTTGCTGCACGTTGTTGCTGGGGTGTTTTTAACCTGAACATACTCGAGAATTGTTTGGTCTTGTCTGCCAAAATTTAGGGGATAGTCAGTAACAGCAATCACAATTTTAACAGAGCTTTTATTACAGACAAATTTAATTATCTTGTTATCGTTTTTAATTCTCTATCTGGCCCTGCTAAGCATTACAAACAGTCAGGTCCTGCCTCGCTGAGCCCCTCGGAGTGTCTGACGGGGCCTGGGAACACAGAAGCTGCCACAGGTGAGCAGGGCAGGGCTCCTCTGTCCAACAGCCCGGCCTGGCAGCAGCAGCCAAAGCTGCACAGGGGGATGTGAAGGAACCCAGAGCCACACAACCTGTTGGGGGACAGCTTCCCCCCAGCTCCTGTCCCCTAAGTCCAGGTCATGGACCAGAGCAAAGAGATTTATGTCGGTTCCAGCACCTGCCCTGCACCCGACCATGTTGTTGGCCATGGTTTGTCCAGGGAGAATATTTTAAAATTTGTTTGAAATGGCAGTTTTCTTAAGCTGTACTTCAGTTTTACAGGTTGTTTCTCTGGACTTGTTCACGGATGTAGTTTCTTGTGTTATTCCTGAACTTCTTCCAAATATCTACAGGCAAAAAAAGAGATTTGAACTTCTTTGGATTCCCAGCTCATGGGGAACCAAAGGGACATCCAGTCCTTTCGGATATTTGCCCAATTCAGGCTGCTGTAGAAAGGAAATTCTGACCTAAGAATTAAAGACATGCTAATGATTCAACACTTAATGAAGGCAAAAAAGGAGTTAAGCATTTTTCAAGAATTGTACCTACCTCGTGTCCCCACCCCACCTGTCCCCAGCCCCCCTTGTAAAGTTTTACCACTTTAAACCCTTTCTCTAATTGCATGGCAGGTCCCTTAAAGAGGAGAGCCTGTCCCTAGGCAGAGCCAACAGCTCAGAGCCAGTCTGCTCAAAGCCAGCACAGACTGGCTCTGAGAGAACTTTTAAAACTCTGTAGTTTTAAAAGCTCCATTACTTCTATAAAATCCTTAGGACCCAGCTTCAGCAATCCTTCCAGACAGCTCTGCAGTGTCTCCTCTCCACGGTGTTCCTCCCTCAGGGCCTGACCACAGGCACTGTCACTGCCAGAGCCTGGGCTGAGGGCACAGGACCAGCTCACTGCCCTCAGTACGCCCTAGGGGCAGAGCTGGACAGGTAAATCCAACCAGAAAAGAGTTCAAGGAATCTGTTTCACGTGAATTTCAGGTCAGTTTAATAACAAACACTCTGAGGTGAAGGTGACACAGCAACTCCTCTATGCCAGCACTGAGACTCAGTTGGGATGTGAGAGCTGGAAGGGGCTGGATGGAAATCCAGACACGGGAGTGTCCAAAACCCCAAACACATTCCCATTTGCTTTCCACCCTCCCTCAAACAAAGCACTAACATTCCTGTCCTCCTGGGCTCTGCAGAAATCAAGCAGCAAGCTCAGGAGGTCAGGACCTGCTGGAAGGAATAAACTTTATCCTGGAGAGATGGGAGAGCTGGAGAAGCTGCCCAGAAGCACAGCTGTGCCACAGCTGGAGTGAGCACCCTGTGCTGCTTGTTTAACTTCCTCAGCACTTTCCCCTCCTCTTCCAAAACCAGGAAAACCACCCAAATAACTGACCCCAGTTGCCTCTCGGTTATTCCAACGTGTGGAATTTACTGGTTCCCCTCAGGCAATAAATTCAATCCAGCCCCAGCCAGCTGTCCAGGTGTGGTGAGCAGGCTGCTGGTCCCACTGACCTGTGTCTGTTTTTGTTCTTTCTCTTTTTGTGGCTGCTGTGGTGGCTCCCAGAGGAAGTGGAGGAAGCAGCTTTCTGAGGCTTCACACCCTGCACGGAGCCATCCAGCTCTTCAGCATCCTCCTGGTTGGGCTCATTCTCCTGGTTGTGGAAGTCTGGAGAAGTGTCACTCTCTGTGCCACTGCCTGGCTCCCCTAGAGCAGGACAAAGCCAGGTGAGCACCAGGGTGAGCTCCTGGCACAGCCCTGAGTGAGAGAAACAACCCCAGAACAGCAGCAGAGGCAGCTGAGCCCTGCAGCACCAGGTGAGTCACAGAGCCTGGGAAACAGCTCTGCAGGATGCACAGGCAGCTGCTCCTCAGCACTGAGGAACCACATCCTATTTGGAGCTGATCACAAAAAGGTTCCTCAGTGTCCTGGAGGTGAGTGGTCCCTCCCCAGCTCTCCTGTGACTGACACATCTACAGATGCAGGGCTTCAGCTCATCCAGCCTCTTCCTGCACAGAGCACCAAACCAATTTCAATCCCTTTCACACACAACAAAGCCCTCTGAGCCTGGAAAGAACCTGGGAAGTCAGGAGCAGCCTGAGGGCAGCAGACACAGGGACTGGGAAGGGGAGCCAGACCCCAGCCCAGATCTGAGACAGGGCTGAACAGTGGGGAGAGTGTAATTCTTCCCAAATTCAGAGAAAAATTACAAAGGGACTTACGCTTCTCAATGAGCTGGTCCTGCACTCCAGCTAAAGCACTGACAGCCTGCAAAACCAAAGGGGAGGTCAAGCCAAGCAGGGATTCACTTCCCAGTGCTCAAAGCACAGAGCCCAGGTCACACAGACACGTCCCTCTGAAGTGCCCGTGGCACCGGGGTCTGGGGCACAGACAAAGCCAGGGGACAGCAGTGACACCAGTGACAGGCACCCTCCCACCCCCAAACATGGAAAGGGGCTCTGGGAGAGGCTGAGGGTGGGATGGGGATGCTTGGGGCAGGGAGCCAGGGCAGGGATGGGATTTCAAACGGGGAAGTCATTCTGCAGGTGATCACAGCAGGACTGAGGCACCAAGGGACAGGGATGGGATGGGATGGGGATAAAACAGGAACAGGAATGGGGACAAGGAAAGGGATGGGAATGGGGACAGGGATGGAGACAGGGATGGGATAGGCATAAAACAGGAACAGGGACAAGGAAAGGGATGGGAATGGGGACAGGGATGGGATGGGGATAAAGCAGGAACAGGAACGGGGACAAGGAAAGGGATGGGAATGGGGACAGGGATGAGGACAGGGGTGTGCACAGGGACGGTTACAGGGTCAGGGCTCATCCCGGCACTCACCGCTGCTGAGGTGACCGAGGACTTGCTGAAGAGCCTCTCGGCCTCCTTGAACTTGCGGTTCCTGCGGTCGTTTTTGCTGTTGGAGTTCCTGAAACAGAGACAGGCGCGATGGCGGGGCCGGGCGGGCGGGGGGGCCCGGGCCGGCGGGCATCGCCTCCGCCCCTCACTCACTTCTGGTTGGTGAGATAGCGATCCCAGCCGCGGATGATGTTGCCGTACATCTGCGTGTCCTCCAGGTAGCTGCCCTCGAAGGCGTAGATCTGCCGCTCCAGGTTTGCCAGCGTCTCCTGCCGGGAACACCGCCGCGCATGGAGCAGGCCCGGCCGCGCCGCTCCGGCCGCGCCGCTCCCCGAGCCGCTCCGCCGCCACCCGCACCGCACCGAGCCCCTCCCCGGCGCTCACCGCCAGCTCCTGCTTGCGTTTCACCAGCTCGGCGAGCTCCCGGCGGGTGTCCGGGATCTGCGGGGGCCCGCCGGCCTTGGCGTGCAGCGCGGCCATGGCGGCGCGGCCTGCGCGGGGCGGGGCGGGCGGACGTTCCGTGATTTACTGCCTTAATAATTCAGGTATTCCCCCATCCTGTGTCTCTAGGGTCACTCCGGAAGGAATGAGGGATTTGTCCTTACCAGCCAGTGTGGGTCTGCTGGTAGATAAAACCAGCGCTGAGAGAGAAAAGAAATAATGGGAAGGATTCTGCTGATTGATGAATGGAATGAGAGGGATTTGTCTTTACAAACAAACTGAAGGGCTGATAAATAAAGTGGATACTGAGAGATGAAAGAAACAATGGGAAGAACCATAGATTCCATAGGAATTCCACTGATTGACAGGGCTGCTGATAAATAAATGGATACTGAGAGATGAAAGAAACAATGGGAAGAACCATAGATTCCATAGGAATTCCACTGATTGACACAAGGAAAAGAAAAAAGGTGGGGGGTGTACATTAAGAGGGGGTCTGTAATAGGTGATTTGAGAAATCTGTACCTCTCAAGTACCTCAGTCAGTGGAAAAAGAGAGGGAAATGCAGCAGGAAATTGGGATAAAAAGGAGGCTGCATCCTCTAACAGTTTGACAGATCCCAGGGGAAATGCCCCATGGCCTCTCCCTTTATTGGAATAAAGTTCCAGGACTCCTCTGCCTCCTTTTTGGACACAAATCTCAGGTGTTTGTGGATGAATTTCCCTGACACCTCCAACCCAAACCCTTCTGTGATCCCATTAAACTGTGCCACTCTGATCCTCTGCAGGGACCAGTTTGCCCTTCTGCAGTACAGCAATTCTGTCACTTCTCATTCCTGTGAGAACCCTGTCAGGGGACACAGAATGAGCCACCCTGGCCACGCTCAGGTGAGAAAGGGGAGTGATACAAACCTCCTGTGCTCACAGCCTCTCCAGGATACAAATTGTGCAGTCTTGAACTTAATTGGTTTCTTTACTACAGAAACAAGTACCAAAACTTCAATTCTTTTGAGAGAAAAAAAAAAAAAAAAAGAAAAAAACCAAAACCCCAAAAACCCAAAATGAAACTTCAATTCTTTTGAGGGAAAAAAAAGACACTAGAAAAATATTACAATTGAAAGCAATCAGAGCTAAATTTACAAATTGTTTATTTAAAAACCCTTGGAGTAGATATAAAGGAGCTCCTCCTGCTCAAACCCCATCCTACCCATCTGAAACCCCACAGCAATGCCCCATATTTACACTACCAATGTGTACAACGAGCACCTTTGTGTACAGTCTGCACACAGCAGGGACGAACAGGTGAGACCACAAACACCCAGGTGAGTCAGTGACGTGTGGGACACACACATTGAACATAGAGCAACGTTGGAGAGACACCAAAAACTGCAGCTCCCAGTGAGTGGGACTGGTGCTTCTCTCCCTAAACACTGACTTCTTTACTGTTAAACAAAGGACTTGGGTAAGTTTTTATAAAAAGAGAACTTAAATAGTGCAAACTGGTTAAAACATGTCACCCTATCAAAGGTGTTTCTGTCTGACACAAACAAACCCTGGGGAGGGGGCAGAAATAAGGGCTCTAGCTTACAGCCCAGTCACTCCACATCCAGGAGTTTCAGCATCATGTGTGGGAACAGGAAACTAGGGTCACAGTCTCATCACCTGAAATTCCAGGAACTGTTTAACTTCTGTTTCACATTCCCTTGTGATTTCCAGGCGGAATTCCAGTGAAATGCCCACCCCTCAGTCACCATGAGGCAAATTAAATACCCAAAACATACAAATACATGAGGGTCTTTGCCACATTTCTGCCATTTTAGCAGTGATCCAGGTAAATTCTCCTGTCAGAACTCCCAACAGGCAGAGGAATTTGGCAAACTACGGAACAGGACGTGAATCTCTAACTAACCTTTCAGTCTGTAGCATTTCCAAAGGGCTATAACAAAACAAGTCATAAAAATAATTTTCCAGATGCTGTTTGACATGGTTTGCTGGAAGAGTCTGGCAACATCTGTGGAGGGTTTCCAGCACCAGAGTTTTCACATCCAGGTGCTCTTCGGCTTCTTGGGAGAAAAATAAAAATAAAGCTGTATTTCCTGATATGCAAAACTATCAAACATGAATAACGAGCAAAGCCCTCAAAACAAACTATGGGAACAGACCAGCAACAGAGAAAGGACTTTAAGGCAACAAGAGGCATCAGTGCTGCAATGCTCCGTGTTCACATCCCAGTCCCCTTCAACTGCAAGGAGTTTCCCTCCTCTGCCTCTCCCCAGCTTCCTCCTCATCCGTTAACTGTCAGACTCTTCCTCCTTCTCCTCATCCTCGTCATCGTCCTTTGCGTTGGCCTCGGATTTATCCGAGGATTCGTGGAGCAGGACGTACTCCCTGCTGCTGAAGCCAAACTTGAGCACGTCCTTCTCCTTCAGTTCGTAGTAGCGCTGGGGCTCGATGCGCTGGTTGTTGAGGAAGGTGCCGTTCCCCGAGCCCAGGTCGATGATGTAGGGCCTCACCCTGCGGCCCACGGTGCCGTCAGCTCGGGTGTACTCCACCAGCCTGCAAAAAAAACACTGCTCAGCCACCAGAGAGACTGCAGATGTGTCCCAAAAACAGGTGAGAAATTGTGCTCTGCGAGGAGGTGGGCTTGTGCAGTGAACACTCGTGTGTCCCAACGAGAGCAACAAGAAACTGGGAGACAGAGCAGGTACTGAGAGAGGCTGCATCACTGCCTAAACCTCTGCTGGTGGAACACAGCAGCTCCTGCACTGGGACAGTGTTGTATTTGCTGGGAAAATGTCCTGACGAAGGCAGGAATGATGAATCTGACTCCATGTGCTCAGAAGGCTAATTTATTACTTTCTAATACTATAGTATATTAAAAAATACTATACTAAAGAATACAGAAAAGATACTTACAGAATGCTAAAAAGATAATAATAAAAACTCGTGACTATTACCTATGTAAAAAAACAAACTGCATTATCAAAAACAATTAAAAAAACCTTAAATTCCTTCCAAGCCCCTCCCAGTCCCAGCTCTCACTGACAGCTTATAACTAAGTATAACTTGTAACTTTTTAACCTATACTGTAAAATCGTGAACTAAACTCTTTTCTTACTTATGTAGGAAAAAAAAACTCCCTGCATTATCAAAACCTATTCAACAATCATCTTAAATTCCTTCCAAACTCCTCTCAGTCCCAAGCTCTCACTGGTACTGGAAGACAGCTTATAACTAAGAATGTTGTAACTTTTTAAACTATACTGTAAAAACATGAACTAAACTCACTCACCTACGTAAAAAACCAAACTGCATTATCAAAAACAATTAAAAAAACCTTAAATTCCTTCCAAGCCCCTCCCAGTCCCAAGTCTCACCAGCACTGGAAGATGGCTTATAAGAGTTTTGTAAGTTTTTAACCTATACTCACAAACACAAACTAAACTAACTTTTCTTACTTATGTAAAAAACCCCCAAAAAACTGCATTACCAAAACTAATTCAAAAATCATCTCAAATTTCTTCCAAGCCCCTCCTACTCCCTGAGCTCTCACCAGTACTGGAAGACAGCTTGTAAGAGTCATGTAACCTTTTAACCTATACTGCAAAAACATGAACTAAACTCACTGTTCTTACTTATGTAAAAAAAACCTCCAAAAAACTGCATTATCAAAACCAATTCAAACATCATCTTAAATTCCTTCCAAGCCCCTCCCACTCCCAAGTCTCACTGGTACTGGAAGACAACTTATAACTAAGAGTCTTGTAACTTTTTAAACTATACTGTAAAAACGTGAACTAAACTCATTTACCTACGTAAAAAACCAAACTGCATTACCAAAACCGATTCAAAACCCTTAGGAATTTAAGGGTCCCCTCCCAGTCGCGGCTCTCACCGGTACTGGAAGACGGCGTGCTGCTTGGAGCAGGAGGGGTGGTCGATGGGGATGTCGGCGATGCGGCGGTGCCGGCCCAGCAGGTAGGCGCTCTGCCTGTGGATGTACATCACGGGCAGGAACTCGTCGTTCTTGAAGGGGTACAGCCGCCAGCGCGTCTTGGGGATGCGCGCCTCGGGCGGCTCGCTGTACTTGATCACCACGCCCCGGAAGGTGTTGGTGTCCTCCAGCAGCGCCCCCGACAGCTCGAAGCTTGGCTTCTCCTTGTTGGCGGCGGGTTTGTCTTTGGGTTTGTCCTCCGCCTGCCAGGGCTCCGCGTTGGGCTCGCCGCTGCCCTGGCGGTGCTCTCGCCTCCTCTCGTTGTGCAGCTCCCTCTCCGCCTGCTGCTCGCGCAGGTTCTGCGTGTCCCGCTCGTGGTTTCGAGCTCCCGGCCTGTCGCTGGGGTTCCTCTTCCTGTCCCAGTGCTCCTTGTGCCTGTCCCTGTCCCCGCTCCTGTCCCGCTCCCGCCGCTGCTCCTGCTCTGCCGGGTGCCGCTGCTTCCGCTCCTCGTTGCCCCTGCGGCAGTGATCCTCTCGCTCCTGGGAGGGACAACCGCAATCAAGGAGCAGCACAGCTACCTCGGCCTTTCAGAAAATTCCATTCCCACACCCTGGGGATGCGTGCGTGCAGCTCTGACACCACGTGGAACACATTTCCTTGCCAAACTGCTTGGGTTCCCGCAATTTGCACGGAATAAAGCAGCAGAAACAGGCAGTGTTGGCTGCTCTGGGGAAAGGGCACAGCTCGCAGGGACGCCTGAGCTGTGGCACAGGCAAGGCTCCGACAGGAGCTGCAGCCCCGGGTGGCACAGCCTGAGCTGGGCAGCGGGAGCTCCTGACTCGCCCGGATCCTCCCTCTGCTCACGGGACACCATGCGGGGCCCAGTCGGAACTGACAAATGAAGAGGCGCCCTCTGTACCCGCCATGGCCGAGTCTCCGTGAACCGCGCCCGCCGGGCCCCGCTGTACCGACAGCCCCACTCACCTGCTTCACCCTCACGGCGCCGTGGTGCGGGCTGTGGCTGCGGCTCCTCCTGCCTCGCGGGGAGCGGCTCCTCCTCCCGGACCTGCTCCTCCGCCGGGGCGACCTGGGGAACAACGGGAAGGGTTGAGCGGCGGGGCCGGGCCGAGCGTGAGGCCGAGCGGCTGGGCCTCCCTACCTGCTGGCCGCGCGCGGTCCTGCCGGGCCCCGCCGCTCCTCGCTCGGCGGCGACGGACTGCGCCGGGGGCTTCGCCGCTCGGCTTTCACCGCCACCTCCCGCCGCCGTCGCCGCTCTCTCCGCCGCTCCTCTGCCGCTGCCTCCATGGCGCCCGTCCCGACGGAAGTGCCGCCACTTCCGGCCCGACAGCGCTTCCGCCCGCCGGCGCTTCCGCCCGGGCGTTGCTGCGCCTGCGCGGGGCCGCGCGGTCGCCATGGTGACAGGGCCGCGGCCGCCATGGCGGCGCCGCCGGAGTCGCTGCTGCGGTACTGCCCGCCCGTGCTGGTGTCCCGCCGAGGAGACAGGCCCTCCGCGGGGGTGAGCGCCCACGGGGGCACGCAGCGGGGTACCGCGCTCCGCCGGGGCTGAGCGGGCCGGCGGCCGAGCGTGCCGCGGTGCCCTGGCCGCTCCTAGGGCGCTGTCCCGTCGTGTTCCCGCAGGCTCAGGCCCCGCGCAGCCCCGCCAGCTTCTCCTCCACGCCGCAGCCGCAGGAGCTCCTGAACGCCATCCTGCCGCCGCGGTGAGCGGGGCCGGGCCGGGGCCGGCGGTGCCCGCGGGGCGCCCGGTGACTCCGGTAACGGCCGGTGCTTGTCTGGCAGGGAGTGGGAGGAGGCGCAGAAGCTGTGGGTGCAGGAGGTGTCCACCGCGCCCAGCACCCGCCGGGACGTCGTGCAGCTGCAGGAGCAGCTGGACCGGCAGCTGCAGCAGCGGCAGGCGCGGGAGACCGGGCTGTGCCCCGTGCGCCGGGAGCTCTACACGCAGTGCTTCGGTCAGTGCCCGCCGGGCCCCGCGGGTCTCGCTCCGGGGACGGCCTGGCGGGACGTGCCTGCACGTGGAAAACTTTATATCCTCGTAGTTATCCTCTTAGCTGCACTTCAGCCAAGTTTATTTAGAGTAACTTAAAGCCGTGTGTGTGTTACACGCTCCAGTGACGCTCCCAAAGGGGAGGGTGGCCCGGGTTGGAGAGCAGGATCCTCTGAGGGCTCCCCCATCACTGCAACAAGTCATGTTTCACGTTTTGAAGTGTTTGCTGTTGCAGCTTTAGGGGATCTGCATCACTGGCATTGCCTGAAGGGCTGCACCACCACTCTGCTTTTACCTGCTGCACTCAATGCTGCGGCTGCAGTGTAACAAAATAATCAGTTATTGCTGTCTCTAGTACATATAATGTGCTAAATGTGGGCCCATTTACCCCAAAGGCCCACATTTACCTTTCCAGGACTCTCTCTATTCCCTCAGAACACTCTTTATCCTTCTATATAAAACCTAAAACTTAAGGCATCACTTCCAGGACTTCATTTCCCCGTCAGGGCCCCATTTACCCTTCCAGAACCCCATTTTTTTTTTTTGAAAACTGTTTTTTACCCTTCCAGGACCCCATTTATTCTCTGACAACCCTCTTTACTCTTCCAGGACCCCATTTATTCTCTGATGACCCTCTTTACTCTCCATGACCCTTCAGGGCCCCATTTACCCTTCCAGAACCCTATTTTACACCGTCATGTAATAGGAACAATTATTATTAGCAGTCTTAAGCTGCTCCAAGGGAAATACAGGTTTGATATTAGGAAAAAGTTTTTAATGGAAAGGGTGATAAAGTACTGGAATGGTCTGCCGGGGGGGGGTGGCAGAGCCACCATCCCTGGGTGTGTTTAAAAAGAGGTTGGGTGTGGCGCTCAGTGAGGTGTTAGGGCTGGGTTGGACTTGATGATTTTGAAGGTCTCTTCCAGCCTGGCAATTCTGTGAATTCTGTGTGTGATTCTGTGTGTGATTCCGTGTGTGATTCCATGATTCCATGTGTGATTCCGTGTATGAGTCTGTGTGTGATTCAGTGTGTGATTGGGTCATTCAGTGTGTGATTCCATGTGTGATTCTGTGAGTGATTCTGTGTGTGATTGGGTGATTCCGTATGTGGTTCTGGATTCCGTGTGTGATTCTGTGAGTGATTCCGTGAGTGATTCTGTGTGTGATTCCGTGATTCCATGTGTGATTCCGTGTATGAGTCTGTGTGTGATTCAGTGTGTGATTCCATGTGTGATTCCATGAGTGATTCCATGTGTGATTCCGTGAGTGATTCCGTGTGTGATTCTGTGAGTGATGCTGTGAGTGACTCCGTGTGATTCTCCGTGTGATTCCACATCCCTGGCTGTGTGGCACAGTGAGTGGGTGAGTGTCAGCACAACAGGTCCCCAGCTGGGTAAACAGTGACATAGACTCCATGCATTTTACAGAAGGCTGATAATTTATTAAGAAACCCATTATTTGAAGGTCTCTTCCAGCCTGGCAATTCTGTGAATTCTGTGTGTGATTCTGTGTGTGATTCTATGTGTGATTCCATGATTCCATGTGTGATTCCGTGTGTGATTGGGTCATTCAGTGTGTGATTCCATGTGTGATTCTGTGAGTGATTCTGTGTGTGATTGGGTGATTCCGTATGTGGTTCTGGATTCCGTGTGTGATTCTGTGAGTGATTCCGTGAGTGATTCTGTGTGTGATTCCGTGATTCCATGTGTGATTCCGTGTATGAGTCTGTGTGTGATTCAGTGTGTGATTCCATGTGTGATTCCATGAGTGATTCCATGTGTGATTCCGTGAGTGATTCCGTGTGTGATTCTGTGAGTGATGCTGTGAGTGACTCCGTGTGATTCTCCGTGTGATTCCACATCCCTGGCTGTGTGGCACAGAGCCCTGTCTGAGATATTGGTCATATTCCAATATACCTGCAGAAAAGGGTCTAAAGGCCACGGGGTGTAAGCTTGTTTCCTTTCCCATAGTCTGCACAGTTTAAAGCAAAGAGTTTTAGAGTTTAAAATACAGAAAAAATAAAAATAGTTACAAAAGTAAAAAAAAAAAAAAAAAAATAAAATGTAATACTTAAAATGTAAGGCTTAAAATGTAAAATGCAACTTTGTGTATTATAACATGATCAACTAAGAAAGTTTACAGTGTAACATAAATCTAGAAGATAAAATATTTAAAGATTAAGTAAAAATACATGTTTTATTAATTAAAATTATATATTTTATTAATTAAATAATAATTAATAATTAGTAAATTAATAATATAGTATACAACAATTAATAAATATCAGTTTTAGTCATTTAATAACATATTTAATAAAAAATAATACATTTAATAAATATATAAGTGTATAATAAATACATTTAATAAAAAATCTTTTAAAAGTCTTATAACTAAGAGCCTTGTAACGTTTTAACCTATACTGTAAAAACATGAACTAAATTCACTATTTTGGTAATTCCAAACCTCTAAACCTTCATTTGCTAATTCCAAAGCTCCACCTTCCACCCTGACACCTTCCTGTTTGCCTTACAGCGCTTATGTCAAGTTTCTGTGGTGGTGGATTATTTTATGGGAATTTTTGTCCAATATGCTAATTCCAAACCTCCTCCTTCCACCTTCCTGTTTGCCTTACAGTGCTTAAGTCAAGTTTGTGTTGTGGTGGTTATTTTATGGGAAGATCCTTCTTTGATAGTGTTTAGAGAATTTCTGCTCTTTAAATCTTTAGGAGGCTTTTTTAAAGCTTCCAATTGTACAATGGATTCTAAATAATTACATTAAAAACATAGTCCACTCTCTCTGCTCACCATGTATGAACTATGATACTGAATTTCTCTCTCTTTTACTGTTGAAAACAATGCAAAAGCAGAGTTTAATTAGTCCTAGTATCCCAATTAATATAATACAATTATTTTACTGAAACCTGTTATCTTTTTTCAAGTCTTCACTGAAAATTAAAGTGAGACAATGTGAGTGATGCCTTGGGGCCCCGTGACGGAGCTTTCTGCACGTGAAAATAGCAAATTTTATATCCTTAAATTTATTGCTTCCGTTTCCACAGGAGGGCAGCAAAGACCATGAAAGTCCTCGGGCTTAGCTGCACTTCTGAAGCTGATTGTGCAGCTTTAAAGACTGCACCACACACCACTTTGTCGTGATGCCTTAAATTTCAGCTCTGGTATTTTTCAGATTCTGCACTGCATTAGTATATAACTCTGAACTTCATACAGAGTGTTAGCAAGTTCTCTTCACAGTTTAGTTAGACAAAACAATCATTTTTCCTGAGAACATCATTATAGCTTCAGGCCCAAAAAGTATGAACAGCAAATTGGGGAGAGCAAACTGGGAGGATGTGACCTCATAACCTGAAGCTGTAATTGGACAATTAACCCCCTATGGAAATGGACCAATACTTATAAAAGTGTGAAAACTCTTGACCTGTGGTGCATTTTGGGTGTAGCCACGACCAGGCTCTTGTACTGTCCAAGATGTATCCTTTGAAGGGCTTTTAATAAAACCTCCTTCATTCCTTTAACTCTGTCTAGCCTCTGTTCTAGGTAGCCTCTCAAGGTATCAGTCCTATCTGAACTGAAAATTGACTGTTTGCCAACAAAACTCGAGACATCTGTACTCTTTTCCAAGATTGCAGAGCTGGAAGAGGAAAAGGAGGCGCTGGAAAAACAAGTGAGTGAAGAGAAAGCGAAATGTGAGGCCATTGAAAGGCAAGAAACTGAACGGCGAGAAATAGAAGAGAAGAAACACAGCGAAGAGGTTCTGTTCCTCAAACGGACAAACCAGCAGCTGAAGGTCAGTAAAAACCCAGAATTCCAAATACTAGTGGTAAAATTCTCATTAAAACCATTAAAGCCCTAGTAACAACACACCATTTAACATTAATGTTACCCAAGAACAACTGTGCAGGGACTGGATAATTATTTGTGCTTGTGGCTTTGGGGAGAACAGAGCTTCTGCTCTGTACTTTGTTTTTAAAAGGAAAAAAAAATCCCACATCTTTTGAGTAAGGAAAGAATGTCACCCTGAACAGCATCAAATGTTTCTGGCTACAGCTAAAAACATTTCCCTTAGAGCAAGCTGCTTTTCCTGCAGATCCTACTTTTTAACTCGCATTTTCAGGCTGCCTTGGAATGTTTTAGGACACAAAATCTTAGATCAGATGCATGTTGCCCCTGAATCCAATCCTTCCTTGAAGTACCTGTGCTTGACCAGCTGTGTGTGCCACTGCTGAGGGTTACTGTAGCTGCTCCCATCCACTAACTGGCATCAAATTTTCTCAGTAATCACAAAACTTGCTGTTCCCAGCTACTCCTGTCCCAGAGTCAGTTCACGTTCCAAATGCTAGAGAGCCAAATACTTAATTTAGCTCACATAGTCCAGCTTCAAATCAGAGAATTCAGACCACTGTTTCAACAGCTTTTATTTAATTTCCCCCTCGATGCTTCACATTCTAAACAGAGTGTCTCATCGTACAGAGCCAAGGCCAGCTCTCTTCTCCTCAGAATGCAGCAAGTGTGCATGCCAGGAACGACAAACTAATTTATAAAACATGTAGCAGCGGAATTGCTGGGGAACAAACCTGGCCTGGCTCTCCTGGCAGCAGCACAGCATCCCTCAGCTCCTTGCTGTGAACATCCAACAGAAAATTTAGCCCTTCACAGCACTGAGGGTTTATTTTTTAGGTTAGGAAATCTAATTTGTCTCACTGTCTCATTTGTTTTTCAGGCCCAACTTGAATGCATCATTACAGCAAAGAATTAATTGTTTTGTTGTCCTCAAGGCAGGCTCAGAAGAGCTGTCAGAGCAAGAAGCTTGCAATTAGTGACAAAGATTTGTCTTCCTAAAATGATCTTGAGTTTTCACTTACCAGTAACAGCAGGCAGTGTAACTGTGTTCTTTCTTTCTCTCTTGAAGAGCTGAAATTCAAGAGCTCCATTAATTACTGCTCCCTCCTTCAGAGCCATCTTAGCAGTCAGCTCTTTGAACAGTGAACTTGCCTGTTGGTACCGTGCTAATGACCTTCAAAGCAATAACTAATAAACATTTTTAAATGCAAACATCTCTGACATCATTAATTTGGAAATGTTGTAGAAGATTCAGAAACGATATAGAAGTGCCTACAAGAAAAGTAAGTCACACGTACCAAGAAAGAAATGGCAGCTCACTCTTGGGACAGGTGTCTTGGGGGCATTTCCTTGAGTACCTGCAAGCTGCTGTCAGCTGTACATGGAAATCCCTTGTCAGAACCATCAGCAGTAACTGAGCCCAGGCAACACCAGAGCTCTGGGTGTGATTGTTTCTGGTGAAATGAAGGGGGACAATGGCAGTCACAGATTCACTTCTCAATGGAAGCAAATTAAATCCCTGCTTGAGGTACCTCTGTGAGCAGCTGGTTACACAGAAGGTGAACAAGGGAAAGAGAATTCCCTGTAATCATGTGAAAACCCCATAAAGCCAGTTTCCAGAACAAACCCACCCAAACCCCACCACTGAGCAACACTGGAATAGCTGTTTGGCTACTACTGCAGTGTTTGCTGGCCTGGGACAGCGATGTGGAAATACCATCAGCTCCAACTGCACAAAGAACTTTCAGATGATGCAGAAACAAAGAGAGAGATGCTGCTCCTGGGGCCAGGACAGACCGGTCACACTGGGCTTTGAACAGGAACCGCAAGTTTTATAGTAAAAAAAGCCACCGCATACTAGAGCTGTTTTATGTAAAATTTAATAGAATAAGCAGCTATTGCTTATGTTTGTATTTTTTCTGCTTTGATCTTTGTCCCTCCAAGCCAGTTTTTTTCTTGTTCTTATTCTTATTTTTCACGTTGTGAGTTTCATAATACCGGACTCCGACTTTCTTGGAGCGCTGCTGCCTCTCGGCTCGTCTCCTCTGCAAACACAAAACACATTAGCAAATCCCCAGCATCCAGAGCCTCAGTGTCTGCAACTCTCCAATGGTGTTCACTTTGCATTCCACACACGTTAAGTAAAATAAATAATTTCAAACAAAATGTTACTGATGTGACTCTATACAGAACCCACCCTCCCTGGTCTTACGAGAGTAAGCTCTGCTTCAGTGTTTGCAGCAAGATACAAGATTCAATCTGGTGTGCACAGTCAGGTAAGAGGGGGGTGACAGAATCTGTCACAGAACATTCATAACAGAATTCAGTTTTCATTCCCCTTCTGCTCATGCCCAAGTCTCAAAGCTCTTTGGTGACAACAGGCTCTTTAGTGATACTGCCAAGGATAAAAAAGCCAGCTTATTTCCCGGCTCAGCTGTACCACAGGAAAGCACACTTACTTCTTTGGATGTCAGCTTCTTACAAGGCTGTTTACCCAACTGGTCATCATCATCATCATTTTCCTCTTCTTCCTTCTTCTTTCTTTTCTTCTCTATGCTGCCTGCAAACAGCAGAGATCACACACTTGGTATCTTCCAGAGCAGTCATTAGTTTAAAGACCTTCAGGCTGAGGTCACCATTTCAACGCCTTGAGCAACACATTCCCTTGGCTGTATTTAAGAACTTCTACCAAAACAACATGAATGTTCCTCACAAGGGAATCACAGCTATTACTGTGAAAACTGCCCTCGAGAAGCAGGTTGCTCTAGCCCCATCCAAGTCCAGAATTCCACAGTCCTGTCAGGACAGGGCTCTCCCACCTGATTGTGCCTTTACTCAAACAATTGAAGCCTTAATAAAAACCTATAGCCTGAAGTATCTCTGCTTTTATAACATCCCAAACCCCATCCACTCCTTCCTATAACACCCAGGGCTGCTCTGGCTGCAGCCTGCCAGGAGCCCAGGCTGCTGGAACACAAAACTTGCCTTCTCTGGATCTTCCCTCACTGAGAGGGACATCTCCCATCACACACACAGCTGTTCCACAGGAAGGCTACACCAGGTGAGCAGCAGCCCTTGGGACAGCTAAAGGGAGATTTAAGTAGTTTTAGGGGAAAAGATCTTGCATGCAGGATCCAGTGGATGCTTCTCCCCTTAATGCTATTTTTTTCCCTCTGGCTCATAGGATTTCCAAATGTAGATTAAGAACATCTACTAATCTTGTTTTACCTCTGTCTTCAGTTTCTTTGGGTTCTTCATCCTTCTGCATGTATTTTGCAAACACTGTGTCACTCAGTCTCTTGGGGATTCTATGGAAGATAAAACCAGCAATAAAAGATTGTTGTTACACAAACAGTGACCACCTCTGAGAAGCCATCAGACTCCAGCAGATCCCAGTCCCCTGTCAGCATCAAAGCCAGTTTTTGCAGCAAGATATTGCAATACCCTTGCTGCTGGAGTTACTGTGCTTGTGTGCTATATGAGAGAGAAAATGTAGCACTTAAACCTTGAAATCTCTCTCCTCACAAGGCTGGTGGGTGAGCTTTGCTAAAACTGGACCTGCTGTATGGGCCAGGATTCACTGCACAGGCATATCCATTGGGATTACCCAACATAAGGAGATCCAAGGATGCAGTACTGCTGCCCACATAACCCAGATAATGCTAACTCTAATCCATAGTTTAAGAGGCAGCTTTCCAAAAGTGAGAACATTTTTAATTTGCTGGTAAATAGCAGCTCTTGGAATAATCTTTCAAAAACAAACTGCTACTTGACCCAATTCCCAACCCTTATAGCTAAGCCAGATAAGCTGTGGCAACTTATGTGTGTCAAGCAAGTCAGAAATGGAGTCAATCTACAGCAGAGCCTCATCAACCCTTTCCCCCCTGCAATGTATTGGGCAGATTCAGGTACCTTATTGCTGAGAATCTCTTGGCCTTGGCTTTATCCAAGAACTTTCTGTATTTTGCAATCTTGTCCTCCAAAGCCTTAAGAACTGCTTTAGAGCTCTCCTGGACACCTGGTGCAGCCACCTGCAATTCCTCCTCTCCTGGATCCTGATGTTCCTCATTCTCCTCTTCCTCCTCTTCCTCCTGCTCCTCCTCTCCAGATGAATCATCGTCTGTGTCATCAAAACCTGGCACATCCACAGGAACCAGGTCTTCTTCTGAGAACTGAGGTGCCACGTTAATCCTGCCGAAGTTCTGCCGAATGTGGGACATGAGCTGGCTGATTTCGGTGTTTGTGTTGTTCCCCTCTTCTGCTGGCTCCACACCTGGTGCCACCAACTCAGAGGCATTCTCCTCAGTGTTATCTTGGCTGGATGTCACAGCTGCTTCCAACACAGGAGGCTGCAAGGAAGAGCAAGATGTATTATCCCCAAAGTCTGTGCCACTATCTCCAGGATCAACTTCCATTTTCTGTTGTTAGAAAAAGCCTAAGATAACAACATGATTTCTGACATTTCTGGTAGTAATGACTCAGACATCTCTGTAAAGAGCACTGCTACCTGGTCCTCACCAAACTCAGGTGTCACCTGAAGGACCATGCTTGGGCAGAGCCCGGGACATGCACTGCCCAAGGTCCATGGCACTCTGGGAAAAGCAGCAGTGAACACCATCAGGAAAATCAAGTATGTGGAAAGAGGAGGCACAAGCATCACATTCTTACCTGGGGACCTGGCTGACCTGGTTGATCTGGTTCTGCAAATGGTGGCATCACAAAGTAAGGGATTCTGCCCCTCTGCCAGTCATTGAGAACCATCTTGCTCACAGTCTGCAAGTCAGGCTCACCACCCTGAGAAAAACAGAACAGTTTATGTCCATGTTTGGCACACAGCCCCCCCATGCCCCGTGAGCAACAGAAACATTTCCCATGTTCAGAACAGGCCACGGGCTCTTCCAGCCCTCAAATACAGGAAGATGGCACACCTTTAGCAGTTTTCCAGTCCTAGCAGCAAGTTTCTCAAGGAAGTCTTCTGTATCCGTCCAGCAATCAATTTTGTATGTCTTCCTGATGTACTCTGCTTTGGCTCTTTCCAGCACAGCACCAATATGGTCTTCAGGGCTCTTAATCTTCTCAACTTGAACCTGAAAAACCACAGCAGAGGATCAGCAGAGGATCAACCCTCTGAGACCATCACAGTGCCAACAAGCAAAGCCTTCCAGCACCCAGTGCAGACACATACCACTCCCTTCAGCACAATGTCTGTCTCTGAGTCTCCTGATGGATAAACCACCCCGGGGCAGTCGATGAGAAAGATCCGCCGCATCAAGGTGATGTACTGCCACACCTGGAAGAGATCAGCAGCTCCCCATCAGCACCTGCACACAGGCCTTGCTTCATTTCTGAAGACCAGAGTCAGAGAAACAAAGCCTAACCCAGCATTTGGATCAGGAGAGCACAGACAGGGAGCGAGGGCAGCTGAGCTTCCCATCACAGCCCTGCAGTATGACAGTGTGGGAACTGGGGAATGCTGCCTCAGAGCAGGGACTGTCCATGAGCCCCTCCTCAGGGTCACACAACCTGTGCAGGTCAGTGCAGAACCTGACAAGGTCAGCAGGCTGATTTCACATGACCACATTTGTATCTTTAACACTGGGGTGTTCCTACCTTTGTTTCCCCTGCAATGGGGGCCACGCTGCAGACCTTCTTGGAGCGTAGGGTATTGATCACTGAGCTCTTGCCAACGTTGGGGTAACCAATGAATCCCACACTGATCTGCTTCTTGTCAGAGTGTAACTGGTGAGAAATAACAGATCCTTTTATATCTTGGAGTGAGGGACAGAATTACCACTTCAGTTCTGAACCCCGAACACTAACAAAGCAAAAGACCACACACAGTAACCCCCAAACCAACCACAGATCCCCAAAATTGTTTTGTACCTTTCCAAACTGCCTTAGGAGCTGTATGAAAGCACCTTTGCCGAATGGGTTTGTGAGGCTGGCATGGAAAGCCAGTGTTGGATACTCCTGGGAAAGGACAGCAACCCAGCGCTTCTGGAGAGGCAAAGGGGACTGGGTTAGAGACTGGGGCTGGACAGTGACACTGTGAGCTCAGAGAGGAGGACACAGCAT